TGATTAGATCTTTGCACTGTGACACACTTTTACACCTGGGGGTGCAGAAAACCCTGTTGACGCTGCAACGAGACTATTATTGGCACGGCATGACGACGGATGTCGTCGGTCACGTTCGCGCGTGTCCCGATTGTGCCCGCCGTAAACCACCTAAACATCCATATGTTCCGCCGATACAATCGATTCAAGTATCTCGGGTTAATGAGCTGGTGGCGTTAGATATTTTGGGACCCTTTCCGCCATCCGCTAAGGGAAATAAGTATTTACTGGTGGGGGTGGAGTACCTCTCTCGCTGGCCGATGGCCTGGCCTTTGCCTGACCAGTCAGCGGCGTCTATCACTGACGCCTTTCTATTTGGGTATGTAATGGACAAGGGGGCGCCGGAGAGGCTCCTTACAGATCAGGGGCGTAACTTTTCGTCAAAATTGTTGGGGGAGGTGTGTGCGGCTTTGGGAACTAAAAAGATACGGACGTCCCCCTACCACCCACAAACGGATGGGATGGTGGAACGGTTGAATCGGACTCTGTCCGCCATGCTGTGCCATACAGTCGGGGAAAATCAATCTGATTGGGATTTGCATATCCCTGGGGTGCTTTCGGCGTATCGCATGACGCCGCACGCGGCTACTGGATACTCGCCGTTCTTCCTTATGTACGGCCGTGAGAATGTGCCGCCGATTAATGAGCAGTTGGGAACCGGTGCGAGGGGGCCTGTTAAGCCTCTTCCTGAGTATATTCAGGACAACGTTCGCCGTGTCACTGAGGCGAGGGAAAGAGCCCGCATGGCTACAGCCAAAGCTCAGGCCAGGAATGAGCGGTGTGCCCGACGTTCGAAGGGGGAGTGCCCCTGGAAGAAGGGGGACCTGGCCTGGCTTCATTGCCCACAGGTGCGGCCAGGTACCTCTCCTAAATTACACAAACCGTGGCAAGGTCCGGTCCGCCTCATTGAGGTTCCCAACCCACAGTCGGCGCGTGTTCAGGTTGGTTCGCGGCGCTGGTTCGTGCATACATCCCGGTTGAAGCCATACATTGCCCCGCGGCCGGATGCGTCATCTCCCGAAGTTGCCTTGCCGGGGTCTGTTGCTGCCGACTCGCCCTTGCCTGTGTCTGCTGACCTTGCGAAAGCGCCTGTCGTACCCTTCACAGACAAGCCGGCCGTGACAGCGCAGGGTGGAGGACGTTCCGCTCGTGGGATGCCGACCGGTGCCGCGGAACCCACGGGACCTGCAGCTCTTCCTATCCCTCCGCGGACGCGAGTACGGGATGTCTCTGGACGCGAGCGGGACAGTGGCGGGCCTCCAATGGCGACGGAAGAACTTGCGCCCGTCGCCCCTAAAACCCTTCCACGTTCCCGCTCGGCGGGTGGTCTGCCGACCGTCCGGGACGGCCCGGCTGCCCGTACTCGCTCGAAATCCCTCACGTTTCGTTAGATTGTGTTGTGTTGTGTTCTGGTTATATTGTTGTTGCATGCTTCGTGTCTTTTTACGTGTTGGCCCTTTACACCCGCATTTCTTGTCAGGTTGCAATTCAGCCGAGGTCGGCTGGATTTTCTTTATGGGGGAGGGTGATGTAATGCGGGCGTAAACGGCCCTCCGGAGGTGACGTCAGGAGGGGAGGAGTTAGGTCACGTGGGGGGGTGAGGGGTTAGGCTATAGAAGGAGGGGAACCGGAAGAGGACGGGGAGTGACGGGGAACCAGGAACAGAGAGAGGCCACGAAGGGCGAAGCGGAGGGTGGCGAGATCGCCACGAACACGGGGGAGCGAGGATCGGCACCGTTGGCCAGCGGTGACCGACCCGAAGCAGCGAGGAGGCTGCAGTCAGCAGCGGGGCTGCATACAGAGTCAGCAGCGGGTCTGCATACGGTAGCAGCCAGAGGGTCTGCACATAGGGGTAGCAGCGGGAGTCTGCATAGAGGTAGCAGCGAGTCTGCAGGGAGGAGGTTACAGTAGATGAAGCAGAGAGTCAGAGGGAAGAAGGAGCTATAATAGCAGTGAATAGCCGGGGGCTACAAATACAGAGTTATAACAGAGTGCCGTGTGGGTGAGGACGAGAACCCAATAAAAGACACGAAGACAGAAGGAAGTGTCCGAGTCCTTTTATTACACATGCATGGGGAAGCTCTGCCTGTGTGGCCAAACTATTCCTTCGGAAACGAGACGCTCCACCAAAAACACGCAGCATGTCTGTATGTGTCGTGATTCAAGGCATGCCAAATTGTATTCGTATTGTGCTATCGGCATGTCGGCACAAAGCATATACTAAATAGAGGATTGACACTTTGCTTTGTGAGAAGCTCTATAGCAACATAGCCACATATTTTTCTCGAATGGAAAGGCCCAGAGGTAACATCATAGGCCCTTTTTCTGGTGTTCTTTGAGCCAATTCCTACACGGTCAGGAAGCAGTATGTGGGTGAAGACTGCACCAGGGCTGTGTTCAATTCATATCAAAGCACGTTAACTCCAACTAAATCGAAAAAATTCAACTAACAAGCTAGATGGTGACCAGATTGTTATCATAGCAACAGCCAAATTTCCGACAGCCTAAAATCGGTTCTAGCTAAAGGGTTTAATTTCACAGTCACCCCTAAACACATCCCAGTTGATTATATCATTGCCCAGGTCGACGTAGCCCTTAACGGTTGGGACACATTCTTGCAGACGTAACAAGATCGGAAATCGCTGCAATCCTCAAAAACGCTAAGACACCTATTAGCAACATCAGCAAGGATGAGCGCCTTGAACTCTCTCAACTAAATAAGAGAGATGATATAGTCATCTTCTCAGCCGGCAAGGGCAATGCCACTGTCATCATGGACACAACCACATACAACAAATGTGTTCATGGATAAATTTGAGACAGATGCCATCCAGGGATCCACCCTACGTCCTTCCTTGTTGAATAGGTACGTAGATGACACATTCGTCATCTGGCCACATGGCCTACCAGCTCTGGACCAATTCTTCAACCACATCAATTCCATACATCCAGCCATCAAATTCACCATGGAGGTGGAAAAGGATGGCAAGTTACCATTATTGGATGTTTTAATCGAAAAGAAACCGGATCGCTCAATGGGACACTGTCTACAGGAAAGCCACCCACACAGATGCCTACCTAAAACCTGACTTCCACCACCATCCATCTCAAAATAATTACCTCATCAAAACTCTAAATCATAGAGCTCGTTGTATTTCCGACCATCACCACCTAGCCAGTGAACTGGAGCACGTACACCAAGTCCTCAAGAAGAATGGATATTCAGACTACACAATCCGTAAAGCTATCACCCCAACCGTTGGGAAAGAACCATCTGAAGACCCTATCAAAACCATCAACTTGCCATACATAGCAGGGGTCACCAAAAAGATTTCCAAAATCATGAGCAAACACAAGATCCAGGTACGGTTCAACACGGTACATACAATTCGTGATTTGATCCGATCTGTGAAGGATGTGATCCCTGACATGCAATTACCCCGGTGTCTACAAACTAAGCTGTGGCTGCGGCAGCAGTTACATTGGGGAAACTAAGCAACATGTCTCTGACCGGGTTTGTGAACATAAGGCAGATCTGAAATACGGTAGGACCAATATTTCAGCCGTGGCTGATCATTATTTTAACGCGGTGGGCACACATTAAATTGATTTTGCCAAGACGAAGGTACTCTGCAAACCCACTGGCTATCAGCAAAGTTTCGTTCATGAAGCCATCCAGATATATAAACACAGACACAATTTCCACCGAGAAGATGGGTACAAACTGAGCAATCATTGGAAGGACGTTATTAACCAGTTTAGGTCATAACTGGCTGTGATGTTCCTATCCTACTTACCTATGTTAGCAGTTATTTTCGACTCTGAGTTACATTCACTAACACAGCCAACCTTTAGGTGTGTTAGTAAATGGCGGCTTGCCACTGCGTCGTCCGGGCCCAAGCCGAGCTTGGCCCTCGCCGAGCTTACATTTACAAGCAAATTTCTGGGCCCTAGCCGAGCTTCTACATTAACATTCGCTGCCCCGCCCATCTCTAAAACTTTATAAACAGCCTGCCTCAGCAGATTTCCCCCTCTTTTTAAAACCTTTATATTAAGTTCGCTTGCGTGCTTGCTTGCGTGCTTGCTTGCTTACGACCGTGCAAATCTTTCGGTCGTTTTTTAACCCACTTCCCGTGATCCAATCGAGCTGACATTTTCCACACAGACTCGTTGTGCATGACAATTAATTTTCGTGAAAAAATGTTTCCAAAATTTTACACTGTTTAGGGAAATTTTTTTAAATATTTTAAATACAAATATTTAATTACCAATTGCTTAATGCTGGCAGACAATCATCTGACCCATAGGTGGCAGTCATCTCAAGCCAGAGGACGACAGGACTCTAGCCGCCACGCATATAACGGATTTAGAGTGAAAAACTTTGTTTTTACGGGTTAATTTTTTCACCTGAAGACAATTGCTTGTGTTATGATCGCAACGGCGTGATTTAAATTTTAGTTCTTTTTTCCATGTGGCTTTACCAAAAGAACCAAAGAATATAACAGTTGTTTCAATTTACATTTTGAAAAACGATAAAACTTGAAAACTAAAAAATATATTTAGCAAGTTAACCAACTAAAATTTATATCTGATAAAGTCACTGGCTGGGCGTCGCCATCTTGGATCTGAGTAGAAGCAGCCCACAAAAGTGTTCAAGAAGCCCTTACGTTATTCCTTAAGTAATCATAATAAGCAATAATTGTTTCAATCTGAAATTATTATTTGTTATTAAACTCCTGATTAAGTACGGATGATATCTGTGCAATGGTGACGATCTTGTCGGGCGGTGGAGGGTGATTGCCAATAATTTTGGCGTGAAAATTACGACCATGCATGTGGCCAAACTCAAAAACAGCCTCAAACTCTGCTTTAGAAGAAGACCGAGCACACTGCGGCTGGGCGTGTATATGCACAGTAAACTTATTACAAGTACATATTGTACAGTGTATATACTTGCCAGTTTATTCGTATTATTTATTTACAACGCATTATATACATAGTATACAATATAAATATAGCATTTATACAAAACGTAGATTTGTCAGATGGTAACAAATTCAAGAATGTACATGATTAGAGGATTCAAGAAAGGATCCAAAATTCTCCTTAAACCTAAAAAAAATGCGAAATCAGAATAACGCACTGCATACATTCTCACGGGTGGTGGAATGACTTGAACGAGGAGAACAGGAAAACAATTGGATGACGACAATTTAACCTTATGGCGGGGCCCCGGGGTCCTGAATAAACGGAAGTCAAAATCGTAATTAATTAATACGTCCCACCGCGAACATAAACGCCGCCACCCACTTGGCGCGGATCATTCTGTTGTCATGTCGTCCATGCGTAGCGAGGAGGAATGCGCAGAAGAAACAAAACTTTGATTAGTGCATCGTGTAGAGCTCTTCGAGAGGAATAGAATGCCATATCGTTCGCCTTCAACAGACGTAAAATGACGTCGCAACGCAGTTTATGCGAGAGCCGGGGGCTTATGGGAACCGCCATGAGTTTCAATTGGCAGTAGCTGGAGACGGCATTTATCCAACAGCGGATGGATCATGGATGATGATAATGATGATCAAAAGTAGAACCTTTGGTTGTCCTATGGACATACTCAACCCTGTCACAAGAATGTGGAGCTCGATTTAAAGCTTTCGTGACTGCAGGGATTCATCTTCTTGGTTCTTTCGGTAAAGTCACGTAGAATGGAAATAATAAAATAATACAATAAAACATAATAAAATAATTCTCACGACGTTTCGACCACAACGCAAGTAGCCGTCCTCAGGTGAAGACCAGGTCTGTCGGGGAGACAGCGTCTGAATGAAACAGCACCATGCTTGGAGCGTATTCCATTCTACGTGACTTTACCGAAAGAACCAAGAAGATGAATGTGGAGTTTCTATATTTATATGTATGCTGAACTTCTTTCGCACTATACTTAGCCAACCGTGCTCATCGGAGGTGCGCGGGGGGTGGGTGAATAAATTAAACACAAAGCATTTAAAAAACAAATAGTTTTCAATCTAGATTTAAAAGTGTACATAGCTCCAATAGCTGCCTAATAAAATGTGACAATGATCCTGGCACGGCTCAGTTTTGTAAGGTGGAAAAGAGTTCTGAGCCAAACCATCCCCCTCTGGGATTGATAAAAGAAGTGCAACTTTGTGCAGCATCAATCAGTGGCGGTCCTCAGCAGAGACTGGCCCCCAACGTAGGAACCTGAAATGTTCGCCGCTGGCTCCGTGCTGCCAATGGAGATAAAACAATACAAATCTAAATAATGCAGTTTTTATATACCCGGAAAAGGCCTCACTCGGGTCTCGAGGCTACTTGTAAAATAAGAGCCCTCCATTTCGGCACTTTAGCAAATACAGTATCATAAAAGTAGCATTTTGAACGTGGGAGGAAATTTCAGTATCCGTAGAAGATCCACGCGGGCACGAGGGGGCGACGCATAGAGAGGAATCTCATGCAGTGCTGCCATCCCCCCGGCTGCCATCCAACAATTGTCTCGACTTCTTGTTGGCCTCTGCGCCTCGTTCTGGCCACACCCAGCCCAGTATCCCACCAGGGGGTAGCGTTGAGCTTCGTGCCTTCGACCTGGATGAATCCCGCCAATGAAGTGATGAATGTTGAACGCGCAGCGTTCACGTGGATACAACGCACGTTAACATGAACGTGCGGGGTCACGTGTGTTCGGCGGTCGAGATTGGCTCAATCAGTTCGTGCTCCCCGCATGCACTGGCATGCCAAATGATGTCACGAAAGGGGTACCACCAGTGGCAAATGGGGCACTGCTGAAGTCTCACTTGACACTTCGTGTCCCGTTCTGCGTCTTCGTTTTGCGCTGCGGATATAAGATTACACAGGGTCAGTCTGTCATAGGTACAACGGGTTGCAGTTCAAGTTCGAGTTAATGTATTAGGTATAGCCCTGTGAGCCATTCGGCTCTTGAATCGGGTGCAACCGCAACAAACAAAAAACAAAAACATGAACAAAAAACATCTTAAAGTGACTATGCGCAAACAGAAAAATCGAGGTAAAAAACTGCAAAGTCTTCCAGAAGAAAAAGCACCGTACACCAACGCTGTCACAGAGACGATCCCTCTCTCTTTGTGCCGATACGTGTTCTCTCTCTGTGTATCTTTGTGATATGTGTCTGCTTATATGTCTGTCTATAGTTTTCTGGTTAGATTTTTGTTGCTATTTCTTTTATACCTGATGATGATTGCTTGTGTTGCAATCGAAACGTCGTATTATGCTATTATTTAATTTATTATTTTATCTTTATACGTGACTTTACCGAAAGAACCAAGGAATAACCCACCACCACCCGACACAGCCAACTAGTAACTTGTTCTGTTTACGTGACAACCCTTACTAGTTGGCTGTGTCGGGTGGTGGCAGGGTTTTAACAACACGTTTATATATTTATGCGATCTAACCCCCAAACACCTCTGTTATGGATCAACGTTTCTCGTGGGGCTCAGCTTGCTTAGTTAATTGTACTGGTGACTGTTCGACGGATAAACTGGTACCCACCATAGCAAATGTGGAATTTCTACAAATACTCGATACTTTCACCAGAGCTGTAAGCAGGAGATGGGCACCATCTCAGTGCTCATTTGAGCAGGGAATTGCGTGACCTTGGTTATCCGAGGTCACGGGGGTGCGGGGGGGGTGACCCAGAAAAAACCAATGGGAAACATTCGTAAATTAAGGCTGCAAAAGAAATGTACTATGAGCTACACGTAATAAGGGTAAATAATGTTGTTTATATTATATTTTTATATGATGTAGTCATCAGTTGTACCTGCTGACGTGTCTGTGAATACAGACTCCTCGATGAGTGAGGAGCAGCTACTGAATGAACCGGGTGTCTCCGTAGACGCAATTATTTATTTTATTTCGCAAGCACTGTTAAGATCGGCAACCCAGGCAATCCACCGATGTATCATTGCGAGTTACCCGTAGCTACGTGTGAAATGGTCTAATGATGCAGCGGTATGCGTAGCAAGGTTAACCTGTCGTTTTGGACGCTTGCCACCAAGGTTATTTGTTCAAAAGTCATCGGTTCAATTCCCACATCTGTTTTTGTTGGTGTGTAGTTGACTTTTGGCACAGCGCAGGGATAAGCACGACTGTAAAGGCAGGGAGTGACGTGTGCAAGTACATGTGTAAAATGACACCACGGTGACATAATGTGGAAAAGTAGGCCTTTGAGTGTCCCTGCACAAGCAGCAAATGCACGCATGAGAATTACCCACAAAACATTGCGAAATAATTGAAAGTCCCTTCGTAAATATCGATCTCCCCACTTCGTGTCACGATTCAAAGTAAATATTACAATTTCATCCGGGCGATTTCAGCCAACGACTCGTGGAGACGCATCGCCAAAACCACCAACACATGCATTTCGAGTTATCTGCTTGCAAAGAAAGAGACCTCCGAATGCCGAATGGCTCACAGGGCCATACCAAATAAATGAAACTGAAAGAACACGAGTTCAAATACGAGTGGGGCATTGACTCAACCCGTAATACGTCTCCGCGGATAATTCAATGAGCACTACATTAGAGGTCCTGCGTGTGAAGTCAACAGTGGGGTAGAGACCCCCCCCCCCACTCCCACTGTTGGAATGCACATACGATGGTGAGTGTTTACCGTGCGGGAGTGTGGATAAGGGAGGAGGTGGAGGTGGAGGAGGTCCAGGCTTGGGAGCTTTTGATTCTGCCGGAACCAGAGACACGCACACACGTAAGCTATAACCTTGCTTAGCCAGAGCTATTAATGTTTTTGGTGTTTGCATTGTGCTGCTTGTACAGGTCGCCTTTTGGCAGCATTTGGTCTCTAGCACGGGTGAGACAAAGCTATAAAAGAGTCTCTGGTGTCGGTCAATCAGTCTCAGGGACAGTTGCATACATTATCAAGCATATTTGTTGGCATATATTTTTGTTACTACAAGTATGTGTGATTAATCGAAAATTTATGCCTTGTAATAGGCGTCTATTTGTTTATTTGAACATCTTAACACCTCCTGTATTTATGATTTTAAGATTTTTTTTCTTCAAAAAATAATTCAATATCTTGACACTGCCAAAGGGTCCCACAAATACAATGATGCTTAATATTTACCATTCTACGTGTGAATTTTAGATGGTAAACAGTTTAATAATAGGGGTTTTCCCCGTTTTTATGGTGACAAAACTGAAACATTTTACAAGGAATCATGTTTACATTAACCACAATACTTGTAGTCAGAATGCAAACAAAAAACAACACCGATAATTTATGCATTGTCCTTGAAACTGATTGGTCCACACCAGAGACAGCTTTCCTTAGAGCCTAGTCTCATGCGGTGTTCGACCAGATGACGCCAAAAGGTGCTCTAAGGAAAGCTGTCTCTGGTGGACATTGATACACACAGACATACAGAGATACACAAAAGACACGGGGGCACACACAGAGATACGGAGATACTGACATGGAGCCACACAGAGACATGGGAGATACACACGGAGACACAGAGACACATACGACGACAGAGATACCGCAAATGAAAAAATACAATTACTTTACCATGCAAGTAAAAAACGTGTATTTTTATTTAGGGCCCCTTTATAACAGTTGCTACAGGCCCTGCACGAGCTTAATCCGGCGCTGACGCCACTACTGTGGAATCCCCTTCCTCTGTCAATTAGGGATTTCAAGTCTGTGTCACTTTTAACATTTGTCTTAAAGCTCACCTACTTGTACTTGCAGGCTTTCCCTGTAACTTAAGATGAAACCAAAAATTTCTGTCGTCTGATTTGATGACTCTGCAATTATTATTCGTATTATTTGCTTTTATTCGAATTTCGAGAGTAGTCATTGATAGTTATTATTATCAGCTTTCTATCTCGCTTAGATTGTATCTATATTTGTGAGTGTAGTTTTATTCTTACGTACAGCGCTTTGAGATACTTCAATATGAAAGGAACTTTATAAAATGGAGGTTATTACTTTTAGATTACTGCTCGCCACCGCAGCATGGAGATAAACATATAATTTGATCACAAACCTTTTCCATGATCCCGGCTACTGCCGCAAACGTCCAAGTATTCAGGATCTTCATTTTGACACACTACATATGTGTGCGTATTCTTCGAGCCTGTAAATACAAGAAATGCAATAATAATAATTGGTGTTTAATCTAGAAGTACTGTTATCTTTCATTACGTTATGGCGGGATGTGTACTCATGCAGGCATGCAATGAGTGGGTGCCAGTCGTGGACATTCCATGCCAATGTTTAGGAGCAGTATTCATAGAACAACCACTCATGCAGCTCCCCACAAAGTGGTACTCATTTTGTCTATCTTCTGCTGTAGGCATCAGTTCAAATTCCACATTACTATGGCAGGGACCCACATGTGCAGATAGCAATCACGAGATGTTGTTCACTCGTTCGTAACCCTGGACAGATGGTGATAAGGCTAAGTGACCTCTGGATGGGATATTCAATTTGATGATGTAACTTTGGCATTGTATTTCACATTTGAATGATCTTAATTTTGTGCTTTTATGTACTTCAAGCATAAATCAAGATAGCTTAAAAGTTATTCGACTGCAGTTTACTGTCCACAAGCCTTCCAGGAGTCTCCCAATCTATTGCACATTTTACAAGCTTTAACGCTTATAAAACGGATGCTGTCAGAAAATCATGGCATTATATAATCACCATGCCATCAGTTACTACGGCACACTTTTCACAAAGCAGTGATTTAATTGGTAATCGCTGTACTTTTCTACTTAATTATGGCCAACTTTTATAATTATTATATTGTACATATTGTTCCGGCAAATTAAACATTTAAGAACATAAAAAAATGCGTAACGATAATCGCAACATGACGATGTTTAGCGAAATTTATCTCGATTATCGTGGATCTCATGGATTATCGTCATTGCATCGCCATACCGCAGCAATACTAGTCAAAGGCATTCACCTCCATCAAGCGGTGTTTATAAATAGGCAACGTTTCAAGCCACCGACGGGTGAGACTAATAAGCAAAGTCATAATGGATCGTCATTTGAAGGAAAAAAAACCTGTTTCGCTACCGGAGACCGTGCGACTACAGGGCGTTGCCAGGGTGGGATGCTCGTGGGTGGCTTCTCATACATTGGGACACTCGCCAAATCCAGTCGGAAGTAAGTTACAGGACACATCAACGTCGTCAATATTAAAAACACGAATTTTGTACTTGCATGGTAAAGTAATTGTATGTTTTCATTTGCTTAAACACCCAGTCGTTCATAAAAGTTGAAGGCAGTATAGTACTATAGTAATAGAGCAAGTGCAGAATCACTGAACCGGAATTGATAGCTTGAAAGCATTTCGCGCAGGGCCCTTGAAAGTGCGCGATCCGTAGCATATGTAGCTACTTTTGTTATTACGATAATCCGGCACTGGGTCAAGTGTCGTCTAACTCGAACGAGTGCTGGGTGTTCCTAATGTCGTTGTCCGTCCCCAGGTGGTAAATTCAACATTACGATGGCCAGGGCCACGTTTATCCTTTGGATGGCCACTGTTTGACTTCTCTTTTTATCCACACCCCCCCTCCCCCCAGAAAAATGCTGAGCCGAGTCTGCAGCTGACCAGGATTTGAACGCACACCCACCCAACCGATTGCAAATTGAGCGCTGTGCCGACAGCGCCAATATATGAATGTGGGAAATACCCACGCGTTTAAAATGTAGCAAAATACCTGGTAAACAGGCACGCTGCGAACCGTACCTTCTGGGGTTTGCTTTTTCTTTTGTTGAGTATTCGTCTGGTGAGACAAGATACAGTTGCATTTAAATATATCTTACTTCAAAGGCTTGAATGAACATAACCACAACTCCCTGTTATTGTGTGTTAAAGGATGCGGGGCTACGTTGAGGGCATTTAATCAAAATCCACTGTTGTACTGTACAATGTTCCTACATCTATGCTTCTCGGTGTCACAAGCTCGCATGGTGAAGTATGGTCAGAAAACCCCCATGCTCTGCACAGTGTGGGCATGGCGCTCATTCAGCAGTGGATTGACAACGTCTTTAAACATTTCTCAATGCAGGATTGAGCATCGCAACATTGCTGAAGATTCCGTTGTGTACACGGTATTACCGTTGCTATTCGTACGCGCGTTGGCAATTGTGAACTGCGTTGTCATCTATCGCATAACTGTTGTAGCTGCCGTGTAGCGCACGCTGTGTATGCAAAGCATCTCTCGGCGTCATGGCACATCGGCTCGTCTGAAATGCCACGTAGAGGACATGTTTTGGAAACGTGTTGAACTATTTAAAGTGTACACACACCACGTGCGTGTGATCTGGTATGCTGATATTACCTGGAAATCCAGGCTCCTCCCTGGCCACCACCTTTGTGTGAACATGAGAAACGGCGATTAGAGAAAATGAATCAGGTATGCATTTTCCGTAAGCATCTAAAAAGGTGCATCCGTGCAATTTCTTCCACAAGGCACTGCTAGTGAATGCGCCTCCAACAGAGGAAGGTTTGGACATCTCCGCTTGGGTCTAGAGGGTAGTTTTCCTATTCTTCCACACGGGCCAACCAACCCATTGGACTGCGGGGGCCTTTGGAACGAATGGAAGAATTCCTCATCGGCAGACTACGGCCCTCAAACCAAATCTTGGCTTGGTAAACTGATCACGTGTAACGAGGTGAATTTAAGTTGTGGAACATTTTCATCTTAATTGCATGGCCACTCGGTAATAAAGGATGCTTCTATTACAACATTTCCCATGGTACCCTATTTCATCTTTACACGGACATGCTGCATGGAGTTCGAAAAGCGTAAACGATGATTGTGTGATTATGATGTTATGATTACCTCAATTTGCTTTTAAAGGACGTTTTCAATGTTGTATTCCCTATTAAAAAAATACAACAATTAAAGTAATTAATCTCTTTCGACCTGACAATGAAACAGGTGTAAATCTTGGCATTGTTTTTGTATTGCTAAAATATCATAAACAGAGGTATTTTAAGTTTACGTTGCATAAAACTGCTATTTACATTCAAGGAATGAATATAATTGGTCACTTCATTTTTTTAAACAGTTGGTAAAACAAGACGAGTAAACAGGTATTGAAATTACAAAGTGCTGGAACAGAAATAAATAAAACATAGGGGTATTAACATTATTTCAGGGTCAATGTTTGTCTATTTTCTCCACTTTATTTTGTCTTGCTATCATTCCCCATGGAATGAGGCAAATACATTTATATTTTAGAACTCCACAGCCAGGAAGATGACATTCACATAACCGCATCAACAAAAAACTGTCAATGTCATTCCAAATACTGTGTAGTGTTTAAGTCTCAGAGCTGGCATGAGCCAACTTAAATGAACACCCAAATGTAATATCATGGGTTTTTGGTGCAGTCATTAATGACTGGGCCGAGACCACCGTCTATCCACACCCGAGAGTTTGCTTTGTCCGTTTATTGAGAGCAAGCGGTTGCGCCGATCCGGGCCAGAATGCGGGGGGCATCGTGTTTAAGACTGCCGCTAGGCGCGGGGTCGGCGACCACCTGCGCGTGACCGTCTGTGGTTGTTTGGCACCACAGCTACGCGGCGGGCTGTTGCGCGAGGGCCCCGCGCTCACAGTCGGCCTTGGCCGCTGGTTCAAACCCTCCCCGTCCGGGGTCGTGCCGACTCGGTGCTCCAAACCCCACTAGCCACCAATGTCTTGTTGTTGTACGTAAAACGCTGCGCTCAAAGCGGGTTTCTTTCCGAAATGAGCATTTAGGCCGTGTCCATTATCTATTTACAGCCCTAAGCCAGTGGTGGAAATTCCACATTCCCATGGCGGGGTACGACGACAACACGAGTCTATCCATCGAAGAATCACTGCAGAAGCGGTACGCGTTTAATCGAAGAATCACCGCAGAAGCAGTACGCGTTTAATTGACCCTACAGGAATGATGTTTTCAGTTTAATTTATTAGATATAACCCTGTGAGCCATGCGGCTCTTGACTCGGGTCCAACCGCAACAAACAAAAACATGAACAAGAAACTTCTTACGTGGCCTGTGCCACCCAATAATTTGAACTGGTAGCCTTCCAAATTGCAGGCCGCTCTATATACCGCCGAGTCAGCCATTTCTGATCGACACTGGACTAAAACGGCACGCATATTGAATGATGCAGTTGCACGGGTATTACCTTTGCGTTTGACTAAGTGGGGTGGAAGGGACCCTGCTAGCTTGTCCAGCTCCTCTTCATCCGAGAACATCAAAACCATCTTCCGTCCCTGGGGATTAGAGAAGAGAATTCGTTGATTTCAGTGCAGTACTTGGCTGGAAGCCATGACTTTGCCACATGTACGATGTGATGGTGATCGTCACTAGCCTCCCGTTGGGAGGATTACAGGTTTAATTTGCTCAAATGTAATTTGTTAACTCGTTGAGCCACACCGTCTCGCGACATGTTGCGTTCGACGATTTGCATCGTGGGGAGCATCAGCGTCCCGTCAAAATTAACGTTCCAATAAAGGCCGTGTACATCGGTTGACATGGGCAGTTGCGACAACACTGTGCAACAGCATGGCAGTCAAAGCAATGATTGCACTACAGTGCCGAATATACAGGTTCGAGCCCTAACCATCGACAACACGAGTTACTATGGATTCAAATAAATGTAATCCTGGCTTTCGACAAACTCGGCTCAAATTAGCACTATGCCCACGTTGGCAAACATCCTACTCCGTACACCCGTGTTGTTTTCGTTTAAGTGTGTGTGTTGTGTGGAAGCTGATGCACATGGAATATATTCAAATGGTCCGTACCTTCCACGATTCGAATTCTAGTGTTCTGTTAGTCGTTTCCACGAATATCTGATTTTCAATGTAGCAGATGGTTTCTAGCTTCCCGTCCTGCAAAACAGAACACACAGATTGCTGTTAATGAGATGGGTACATAGACACGATGTGAGCACAAGGGATACAAATTATGTTTTGTGTGTCCGTGGTTCATAGTTATCAGAGCAAACATATCAAATGCAGAACACCGTATGCTATGAGAGAGCGTATGTTTATAGGGTCCACCTCAAGGGTAAGCAATATAAACAAAAACACTAAACTAAACTATTTTATTTTACCAGGCAAGGCCCACTGAGCTATGTAGCTCTTTTTCAGAAGTGACCTGCCACAAATGACAGCTCAACGAAGCGGCTTATCATGTGGACATTTGTAGAAGCCAAATACTCTAAAACGCCTCACGTTGATTCTAAACGTTGAGGGAAATAAACGGAGGACCCGGAGAAAAATGCACACTCCAAACCTACGCCCTCCTGTATACCGGGCAAGGTAGTTCACGACTCGTGGTCCCCAATATATTCATTTTAGTACATGTACTGTATATGTATAGTACAAAATAGCAGGTACAACCGGCTTGGTGGCTCAGTGGACGAATGTGCAGCTTGCAACCGAATTATTGCAACATTCAATTGTGTCGGGGGGGGGGGGGTTACTCAGCCCACCGTGCTTACGAGGCTGCCTATCCTATGGATAGACTCACCCCCACCATGGGAATGTGGAATTGCCACCACTGGCTCGGGCTGTACACGGGCGATGAGCACTTCCTCAATGCTCATGAGAGCAGGAAATCACTTGGACTTTTTGGAGCGCATGCACGAGTCCAGCGATTCCCTGCCACGGCTGAGATGAGGGCACCTAGACCCCCACTGCACACATTGGCAATGGCCAACGTGCCAAAGGATGGCCAAACATTCCCCATGACTGACACGGTGTGGGGAGGCCTTCATCCAGCAGTTGATCGATAAAGGGCCGTGCATTATTTGTAATATTACATATCAAGTAGACACTGTGTATACAGTATTGTATGGGCAATTCCAATGTGACGGAATTACAGCGTGGCTCGCAAAACTTGACAATCGCACAATGGACCACGAGGTATCATTGGAGCTCTTAACAGTTTCTAAAATGTTGTTGCACGACGGGTTGGTGTGATCGGAGAAGAAAGCCACGTCCAATGCATCTGGATTGTTCTTATGATTTATTCACCGTGGAATTACCCCTATAATACACATTATCTGTATAAATATAAACACGTCGTTGTATATATGTGGATGAGGTTCGTACGAACCGCGCATATGATGAGGTAGAGCAATTCCCAAGACTCGATGATACACGTTATTCCCGATATGCGCTTGCCCGTCTTGTCATCGGTTTGCGTTAGGTAGATGGCGCACGCGGTTTGCAGTATCTGAGGAAAGGGAGCAAAAAAAGCAACATCAAATACACGAAGCGAATCGGTCTCCCTGCTCAGTCGATCAAACTGGCCGGCGCTCATCCGTTCTGGTGATGGCCCAAGAGCCTATCATCCCCTGAGCTTAATGGTCGAGAGCAATGACGGAATGACAGCACAAGTGATGGAACGCGTTCTCTGGAAGGGGATAATATCAACTCGCATGCCGGACCGATGATTAAGTCCATCGCAGAGATGACGGCTGCTTGGGGAAACTTTCATCCAGCAGTGGATTGACCACGGCTGATGATGATAACACTAGTGGCCAGTATCAGCATCAGTGATACAAACGTTGTAAACCTCACTTTCAGTTCATCGTAAAATAAAAATATCTACGCTAGAATTGTACGGTATATGGATTGGTTCGTATATGGATTGGTTTGTTAAGTAATAGTGCGATAATTAAAACCGGCCACTTACCTTGCATTGAGGTCCATATTCATTCAAAATGTTTTCGACGTCCGCTTTCCCCAGAGGCATGGCTGTAACTGAAGTGCGTGCGTTGAGCTCTCCACAGCAACAGCAGCCCTTTATATGATTGGTGAGATAGGTGGTGATTGGGGGGTTTCCAAATTGTAGCTCGAATTTACATAAAAAAAACCCCACCTGCTTTGTCTGCGTCGAATGGTAGCTTGAGAACAAAGGGTTTGACGATACAGCCCGCCCTGCCCAGCAGCAGTGACATCTGTTCGTGAACTGATGGGGAAGTTTTCCACCGTTAAGGGGAATCACAATTTTCTTCCGCAGGCTGGAAAACTACCGCAGGTGTGATGTCACGCGAGACGCACACACGAACGCGCAACACACAGCCGCCTCGGCACAGCACGCCCGCTGTCGGCGGTGTTGCACAAGCGAGGTGGGGGGGGGAGAACGACGCGTGTAAAAGGGCCGTTACCCGAAACGTCGAATACTCCACATATTTTTTGAGGGCAGTGTCATTGACGAAAGCGTTTGTGAGTTCTTTAGAGGTCGGTAACGTCACTTTGATTTGTGGCTTGCCATAAAATAGCCCACACTTAAAAAAAAACATGTATCTTTAAAGTTTGAAAAACTAGAGGGCGCTCAACTACTGTTAGCTACGAATAATCGCGCTACGAATCCCCGGCGAAACGAGTTCGATCGGGGCACCACGGCGGCGAGATGTTAACTTCCTCGCCTGGTATACAGGAGGTCGGGGGGGTTCACCCTGATGCCCGCTGTATATTTGGAGTCTGCGTGTCTCTCTGCCCGTGGTCGCTTGGATTTTTTTTCCTCCGGGTCCTCCGGTGTCTTTCTACCCTCCGCATTTATAAATATGCGTTCATATTATTTAGATCATCTCGATGTTTTATATGTCCACGTGATAGGCCACTTTGTTGAGCCATCATTTGTGGTAAGGTGGCTTTTGGAAAATAAGTTAATACCTCAGTGGGCTTTGTCTGGTAAGATTAAGATATTTGAGTTTACTTTGGATATTTTTTTAAAGTGATTTGTTTACATTTCCTTGACTCTGCACTCCTTTCCTGTTTTGTAATGTTTGTTGTTGTAACGTTCTTACCAGCGCCCTACTGGACATCTGTGAAAAAGAGCTTCATAGCTCATCGGATTCCTCCAGTATAAGTAAATATTCTAATTCTGATTCAGTCTCACGGCCAACCAGTTCTGGGCCCTCCCCTAGGTCGACTCAGCCTCAAATAAGTAGCTGAGGCGATGTATAAACATTGCTACAAGGGAGACCAAGTTGGCCGGGTGTGGTGTTGGCTACTCACCGCCTCGAGTGCTATGCAGGCCTTCTGTTAAGGCTACACGTGCGATCTTTGTCTTTAACCATACTTCACCTCACTGGCCAGTGCCAGTTTGTGAAGGGGGAGCGGCTGAACCAGTTCACATGTCACTCGCCACTGATGTTAGCCGTGGTCAGGGCCGTCTATAACGGGGGGGGGGGGCGGCGGGGTGCTGGGTCAAGAGAAAATCCCACTGTGGGCCCCCAACGCCTTCAAACTAAGCGGGCAGTATTACATCTGACACCGTGACGTCCAAGCGCGGGGGGGGGGGGGGCAAAGCGAGCCCCCCCCCCGCCCCCAAAGCGCGGGGCCCGGGGCAGTCGTCGAAATTTGCCGTGTACCCTAGAGTGTGTGAGACGACAGTGCCAGCGGCCCAATGCGAACGGGCCAGAAACCAACCCCCCATCTGTGAATCGTGACATGGGAATTTAAAACAGCTGCTTCCTCGGCATTGTTACAGCAGCGCATGAATTCGGTCAGTTCTGTCACGCAGGGACAAGCACACAAAGGGACAATTGGTGTGTTGCTTTTGCTCATCGGTGTGTGTGAGACCAATAACTGAAATGTACCTGGTTGCCAGTATAGGGGCAATCCATTGAGTAGGAACGCAAAAATCTGTCAAAACTTGAGCCCTACCCCCCTTCCTGTACGCACGCGGACTTTTTACACCCGCCCCCCACCTGCGTACGTTCAGCTTGACGCACCCCCCCCCCTCGAATCCTATAGAACGGCCGATATTTAATCCACGCAGAAACGATCAAAGATTAATAATATTGACGTGTTTAAGCAAACAGATCGTCCACCGCCGGACTATCTAACTCAATTGAAGGCCAATGTAGACAAATTATTATCGAGGCTTCCCCGCCCCCCGTTTCCTATGCGTACATTGTCAGTAGACCCCCCATACGCAAGCGAACGCGTTTGGGTTACCCCTCCTTGTGCGTACTAAATGGATGGCTACATATTGCACATATACAGGGTGGTTCAGATGTCTTGTGCCGCCCCCCCCCCCTCATTTAAGTCTCTGAAACTATAATATATATTTTTAAGTAAGGTTAATTTAAAACAAGTAAATATGCAAAGGGAAACAATGTTAGGGGTCAATTAATTGGGGGGGGGGGGGGGTCATAAGACATTTGGACCTCCCTGTACTTACAGCATTTCTTAAAAGTACGTTTTACACTCGAACTTCAATAATCCGCGATACCTAAAATTGTCGCAGATCCCTCCACATTTTGCAGACACTGCCATAATCTTGCAGGAAAGGAGAGTCCTAAAATCTGGCCCGAAATGTTATTTATCCCGTGTGGTTATTGGTTCCGAGTTGATGATCTCTGACCTGCGGGATTTAGGATGAACTTTTTTTCTGTACCCCAGTGCACCCCCGGATTATAGGATCCGCAGATCATTGGAGTTGAGTGGACTGGTCCATTCGTTAGAAATGTGGGAACTTCCCACCTTTATCTCAGGCACACCTACGTGAATGTACACTGCTCACGGGGAGCCTGGGAAATAAGTAAATAATCATTCATTCGGCTAGAGTGGTTCAGTGGAGAGCAAAACACAAAACAGCGAGTTACCTGATGCCCCAAACAGGCTTGGTTTAATACTCTTTGGTTATTTCGGTAAAGTCACGTAGGTATAAAATAAAATAACAATTTATTTAATAATGTATTGTATTTTCTACCTACGTGACTTTACCAAAAGAACCAAAGAGTATGGATCTCTGCAGTCACGAAAACTTAAAATCTAGATTACACTTGGTTTAAATCTGTGTTTTTTTTAAGTTGCACATGAGTTGTGTTTATGGTGTACACATTATTTTGTGAATGTTATGTTTCCTAAACCCTCATATTGCAGTGATGGGGTTTCACAAATAAAGTTGCCATATGAACCTTATGGCGGTCACCCCGGGGTAAGGTAGTAGGCTCTCGCATAATGTCCGTGATGCAGTCATTTTTAGTCTGTTGATGGTTGGCGATGCGGCAATCGACTCATCTCGACGAGCTGTACACGATGCACCGCCACGGTGCATACCGTGAGCGTTCAGGGTTTCAGCGCAATCGTCCTCGCTGCGTTTCGACATCGCGGAGTGTGGCACTGATTTCGGATTGATTGGTTACCCCAGTCGCGGAGTTAAGTACACCCCTGGGAAAAAATAGTGTCCTAGAAATAAAATATTTAATTGCCTCGGTCATTTTGTATTCAGGATCATATGTTCATAAAAATTATTTATCGATTAGTTTTTTAAAACTTAAACAGTTTTTTTGGAATTGGGCAGTTATCATTGAATAAGAATGTTTTTTTGCCCAGAAATAAATTGAAATTCAAAACGATACTAAATACAGATAGTAAAGTTCGTACACGTGAACCATGTAAATATCAATGAATAAACACTGGAGTAATGAAACGAGATGCAACGTGTGATTGATCCCCCACACAACGGGAGAGTTGCTCTATCCACGGCTTGCAACACTTCGCTGATTGGCAGTGGGGATGAGTGCACCTCCCATCTCTTCCCAAGCAGCCGGCAAGCGTGAAAAAGTATTCGCCAGAGTGACAAATAGACCTCGGCAAGGTAAAAGGTAAAACAACGAGCCTACCTTTACCCTACCTTTTACCCTTGCCCCATACACATTACCCGATTGCAGGGTAATTACTGGGGTACTACTACACATGAACAAGGCTTATAACGGGCAAATGCTAGGTAGAGCGCTTTATTCATATAGAATACACTAGATGATTCTATTTTTAAATGGAGGCCACGGACTGCGCCACGGAGCTTTTAGCGAGCGGTAAACAAAGTGTTTACAGGGTAACACTTTGCGCTACCTTTACCCTACCACCCTTTAACTTACCCCTTGGCATGTCGACTCCCTTACCCTTTATCTTTATCCTTTTACCCGGTAAAAAGGGTAAATTATAGTAGTAGGTTTTTACCCTTTAAACTGGTACAAAACTGACACCTTTATACAAGGCATCATGTTTGCAATAACCGCAACACAAGCAGCCAAAATGCAAACAAAAAGAAACAACTCTGATAATGGTAATAATATGCACTCTCCTTGAAGTTGATTGGTCCACACCCGAGACAGCTTTCCTTAGAGCCGTCTCGGGTGTGGACCAATCAACTTCAAGGACAGTGCATATCATTACTATCAGAGTTGTTTCTTTTTGTTTGCATTTTGACTGCTTGTGTTGCGGTTATTGCAAACATGATGCCTTGTATAAAGGTGTCAGTTTTGTACCAGTTTAAAGGGTAACAACCTACTACTATATTTTGCCACTGGTAAAGGAGGTCTCATAGTGTAAAGGGTAAATTACTTTACCTTGCAGAGGCCTAGTGACAAAGATCCTCTCTCTTCACCTCATGGAAATGCACGTGGCCCACGATGCAGTCTCTCCACACAGGCCAACCACTGTAGACGTATTTATTTTAAGTAGCTCTTCACCCCGAGTTGTTCCCTGACCTGGATGGTGTTGATCTCGAGTTGATGTTTTTGATCCCGAGTAGTTTGTTTATCCCAAAGTTGGATCTGCGACCCGGATATGAACTTACAACTTTGTGAGTTGATCACTCAGATTTCTCACCAACCCAGATAACCTTTTATTCACGGCAGTTGCCTCGTATGCAAATATATTGATGAATGTAACTGCCTCAAAAGGAAATAAATAAAATATTTATATGCGATCGTACTTCCGCGGTGATTTCCGTAACGTGCCGATCAGGCCCATCCCTCAAACTATCACGGTATGCGTGCCACCAGCTATACTGGCTCTAGCATACTTTATTTATATTAATATATACCATCGCTATGGGGTCACAGACTTGCCAGATAATGATCTGCGATGGTCTCTCGCTTCTCTAAGCACGGCACATATACCGTACATCGGCGGCCGCTAGGGTTAGGGTTGCATGCACCCTAGTTACATATTTCAATTTAGTCAGTTCAACACGTAGTAGGCTTTCGCGACCAATATTATCCAAAATAGAGTGTTTTTGGGGGGGGTTAGATCGCATAAATATAAATGTGTCGTTCAACCCGCCAATTCGTTACTAAATTTTTATTTAAAGTTTCGTGACTGCAGGGATTCATATTTTTGGTTCTTTCGGTAAAGTCACGTAGAAGGGAAAAAAAATCTATTTATATATTTTTATTATTATAATAAAAATATAAAACAATATTTTTTGTTTATATTTTCATTATTTTATTATTTCCCTTCTACGTGACTTTACCGAAAGAACCAAGAATATAATTCGTTACTAGTTCAGCACTAACCGGTGTGTTGGAGAGTAAACCCACAACATTTACGATACGAGTACCTGGTGACGTTTTGCCGGTAATTACAACCAGCCTCATCAGGCGGCGGCTAGAGTTGTGGAGATACAGGATACATTTTCCACACGTGACAAAGTGAATATGCGCGAATTCCCCACCGATTGATTTAACTCCTTGTGTAGCTGCCTCAAAGCATGGTCATATCTATTTATTTTTTCTATGCGATTACATATTTGTTTACAAAAAAACCCCCAACTATTCGAATAGCTCCAGTCCACGTGGGTTATTTGACCTTGCCTGCTCTGTGCAAATGCTTTGCCTACATAACATGTTGACTCTGGTTCTCCACTCTGATTGTGAGAGATTTGAAATGCAACAGAGTCTACACTGCCCATGAACACTTGAACTTTTTTTTACAAACATACAATATTTTAAACACACATACATATGTAAAGGAGAGCCGACACTAGGTTGCAGGGGGCTCGTCTTTTAATCCTTTTCTCCCATCCACACCTGTCCCCAGCCGTCCCAATCTCGTCCCCGCTAAAGGCCCCTTCTTCCCTTCTAGATTTGAAGCTTTCGTGACTGCAATGATTCATATTCTTAGGTTTTTTCGGTAAAGTCACGTAGGTAAAACATCAAAATTCTCCCCTCATATCTCCTCGATTACCTCTCCCACTAACCCTCCTATTGGTGGGAATCGTTCCCCTGACACCCCTACACATACATAACCAGCGTGGCAGGTGATGCAACTCTGATTAGCACATTTGGCTAAGTATGGTGCGAAAGAAGTTCAACATATACAGACACATA